CAGCGGGCCGCTCGCGGGCACCGGGACAGCGGCCGTTGGGAACTACTTTTCCAGGCGGAAGCAACTGTGAAACTCCTGTTCGAGGAGCTCTGAGTCGGCGCCGTGGCAGGCAATGATGACGTCGGACGCCTTCTCGTGCCCGCTCGGAGTGTTGCCGCGAGATGCGCCCGGGCCCGCCCGGCGCCGCGAAGGAAGGTTCCGGCCCTGGAATGAAAATGTCCACACAGTGTGCAGCGGCGGTCAAAAAGGCAAATAGGATGCTAGGAATTATTAGGAAAGGGATAGAAAATAAGACCCAGAATATCTTACTGCCCCTGTATAAAACTATGGTACGCCCACATCTTGAATACTGTGTACAGATGAGGTCTCCTCGCCTCAAAAAAGATATTTGGGCCTTGGAAAGGGTTCAGAAAAGGGCAACTAAAATGATTAGGGATTTGGAACGGGTCCCATATGAGGAGAGGTTAAAGCGACTGGGACTTTTCAGTTTAGAAAAGAGGAGACTGAGGGGGGATATGATAGAGGTCTATAAAATCATGAGTGGTGTGGAGAGGGCTGATAAAGAAAAGTTATTTATTAGTTCCCATAATAGAAGGACTAGAGGACACCAAATGAAATTAATGGGGAGCAGGTTTTAAACTAATAAAAAGAAAGTTCTTCTTCACACAGCGTGTAGTCAACCTGTGGAACTCCTTGCCAGAGGAGGCTGTGAAGGCTAGGACTATAATAGAGTTTAAAGAAAAGCTGGATAAATTCATGGAGGTTAGGTCCATAAAAGGCTATTAGCCAGGGGATAAAATGGTGTCCTTGGCCTCTGTTTGTCGGAGGCTGGAGAGGGATGGCAGGAGACAAATCACTTGATCATTGTCTTCGGTCCACCCTCTCTGGGGCACCTGGTGCTGGCCACTGTCAGTAGACAGAATACTGGGCTAGATGGACCTTTGGTCTGACCCAGTACGGCCGTTCTTATGTTCTTATGAATGACTCCGGCCAGCAGCGTGTCCAGCTGGCCCGAGTTCATGGGACTGCCCTGCCGTGTGGGGCTTTGCCTTAGGCAGGTACCACCTGGCCGCCCTTCGCAGAGAAACTTCTTAGCACCAACGTCACCGGTGGTGGCGACCATACCTCTCACCTTGTATGTCCATGTGCAGAATGAATTTTGTTATGTGCACCAAGATGGCGATAGGAAGCTTCAGGGGGTAGCCGAGTTAGTGTGTTACAGAAAACAACCAATGACCTGGTAGCACTTCATAGACTAACGAAACATGTCGATGGGATCATGAGCTTTCGTAGGCACAGCCCACTTCTTCAGATCACCTCCATATTGGTGCACATAACATTTATTCTGCATATGGACCATGGGTGGCAGGCTGCAGCTGAAGGGTTCAAAGTGTGGGAGGGGATTGAGGGTCCTTGCTGGAGTGCAGGCTCTGTGTTGGTGCTGAGGATAAGGTATTTGGGGGACAAGAGGAGACTCCAGACAGGAGCCAAAAGTTTTGGAGCGCAGGAGAGAGTTCAGATCTGGGAGTTTGGGTGTAGGACACTTATCTGGAGCAGCTCCCGTTTCGGGCGGGAATAGATTTCTCCGCATTCAACTACAGGCACCATCCCCCCACAGATCCAATTGGCCACAATTCCTAGCCAATGGGAGCGACAAGGTGGAGCATCTAAACGAGGGCAGTGAATGGACAGTTTCCCAGCAGCACACGGAGGCGTCTCCTACCCAACCAGGAAGGGCTAGCTCAGAATCTTTCTTAATCTGGCCCTGCTCCTGGGGTCAGGGGAATGCACCTCTCCTCCTGCCCAGCAGGGAGCTGCTACGGCTAAGGGAGAGGCTTCTCTCCCTCAGCTGTGGCAACTCCATGCATAACAGCCCTGAGCCCCTGCGTGGGGCTTGTTAGGCAGCTTTGTGGCCACACAGCTTACAGGGAACTCTGCTCTGCGCCTCTGGGATTCAGAATTTCCATGGCTGCCTATTTTTAGCACACTGAATTCATGCACAACATCAGCAAAACTGCCAGTGGAATATGTGTTTTCTGTTCTGTTATTTATGTGTTTCATAATAAGAAATTCTTGGGTTCAAACATTTCCCTGCTTCACTGGAATGGTGTGGCCAGAGTCTGGGTCTCAGAGTTCATACAGGGGAGGGACCGGGGTTATGGAATTTTGAATACAGCTTTTGATCACACAGTATTTGGAAGGATATCTGTAAGGCATTAATTGCAGGGCTTACAATCTAATAACACAAATGTGAATAGTAGGAGGTGTAAATAGAACACACAAACAAATGTCTCCGTTTGATTAGTTATGCATACTGGGCATGGTTTTTCATTTTGGTCCTCTCTCTCTC